CAAGTAATGCATCTGACAATGTGTATTGCACTCATCTTGCTCAAAGCGCTGTACATGGAGCAATGGCTGGGTACACAGGCTTTACGGTTGGTCCTGTCAACAACACACATGCTTACATACCCTTTGATAGGATCAATGAGAAGCAAAACAAGGTTGACATTACAGACATGATGTGGGCGCAACTTCTATCTTCAACCAATCAACCTAGCTTCTTGTCAACAACGAGGTCAGTCGATATAATTGAAGCAAACAAGGACGAAGAACCACCTATTCAACTATCAGATGGAGAAACAAATTCTTGCTAGTAGTAACTTTTTCAACACTCTACCTATTTGTATAATAGGTTTTCTAGTATTAGTTCAATTAGGCTTTGCCCAATTATAAACACGGGTATTACTAGCTATTTTCATTAGAGAAAATTAACTTATAGTGAGATTCAAGAGCTTTTGAATTTATGCACTTATTATATACTAAATATTCACGACGACTCCAAACTGTTATGACTAGGCGGGTAAAAATTATATAGCCAGATCACTCGAAAATTAACTAGGAAAACAGTTGCTCTGAAAACTATATTGTACTCTGCAAATAAAATTTGCTAACACACACAAGCAAGCAATAGTATTGATGCATTACGGTGAGTTGCTCAATGGATGAGTAAACGATTTGAGGGTGAGCAGAGGAAAACCAATTTTAAAGCGAACTCCCTATTTTTTATTATTTATATGATTGTGCGTACAGATTAGCTTATGTGTATCTCAATTATTTCAGCAGGTATTCATATATATCGGGTTATTCTGCTACAAGATTTATGCAAATGAAAATAATCACCTTGTGCTTCTTCCTCCACTGAAATTTGAACCTCAGTTCTCATAGTTGTCTCTTATTTCATTGACTATTTGACTACACTCCGAATGCCAGTATGACCAGTATTAATTTAATCTATTGTAGCTAGAACTTAGCTTATTTTCTAAGTTAATAGCGAGCCTTACTTTTTATGGACGATTATCTTTACTCTTTTAGGAAACTTTTAAAAATTAAAAAATAAACGTGGATACTGTAACAGCATACAGAAAAGAATTGATTCATGATCTTCTCTGGGTTTCTCATCGAGTTGTTATGGACTTCATCTTGCTTTCTCAATTCAGCCCGTCAAGCCACAAATTAATTTGAAAATATTACTTGAATAAGTACTTTTTAATAAATAATCGCTGATTTTAGTGATATTATTTTTTATTTATGGAGTATCATTTATAGTAAGACATAGCAATACTATGATATATATGTTATGTATTAAAAGTGATTATCATCTATGGAAGATAAGTATATAGTTAAAATATAAGCTGCCATTTGTTCAAAAGAATTAATCCAGGTTACTAAAGTACGAAAAACAACTAGGCTGAAAGCCCATTTATTTTTTAAAGAAAAATTCCTTAAACTTCTTTTGTTGTACTTATGAGTTGATTTCTCGGATAGTCACTCAATTCATAACTATTATCTCAAAAAGTTTTTTTCTTATTATTATTAAAAAAAAATTGAAACCCATAAGAAATATGACTTTTTGTGATAATATTATAAAAAATAGTTTGAGAATATATTTTACTTTTCAATTGCATCAAAAAATTGATGGCTTGATTGGTTGGTTCTTGATCTTATCCTTTCTTTTTCAGTGGGAAAACTGAACAGATAATTCATGAAAATTGATGTGGGATCTAAAGATTCCTAAATATTGACAAAACATATCCATACAAAACTAAAGAAAAGATTTGTGATTTGACAAATGAGCAATTCGACTTAATTTGACTCAATTTTACCCTTTAAAGCCTTTAATTATTGAAATCTAGATAAGGAATTTCTACCTTAGTAGTTAATACTATAGAGAGTGCTAACATAGTTTAAGATTAGGACATAGAATCCTAATGTTAATATATTAGCAATATAGAGATTAATTTGATATAGTCATAATTAAGATATAGAACGAATTCTAATACTATATTACAATAGATAGTCGTATGTAAGCCTATAAGAACCACATATATAACTATTTATATAATCTTAATATAATGACATGTTTAAATACATTGATAATCCGATTTTTGTACCAATATTATAATCAGTTTAACAAAATTGACGGTAAGGCGTGTAAAACCCAAGCATCCTTCAGTTTTGCTAAATTATCGTCTCCATATATATGGCACCTAGCTATGTGAAAGAATATTACATTATTTATTTTTGAGAGTCATTCTAGCTAAGCTTGGACCACTTGAGCACTATGATGTATACTTTATTTGTATCATTACGATATACCTTTCGAAATGTATCATAAAAAATAAGTCACTTCTTAATTACATCGACTCAATATTTTATTTAGATGAATATAATGACAATAAGGAGTTATTAATGCAGTTTGATATAAATATTTATTTTGTAAGAAAACAAACAAGTAACAACTCAATTTATCAGCTCAAAATTAAAACTTTTTAGAATAATTAATCAAATTGAACTTAAGAAATCGATCCAATCAAAATTATAATTTTCTAAATTCAAAAATTAAAATTTTCATATTCTATCCGAACGATTATAATACCTATCTTCTAATCCCACTTACGTTTTGGACGTATGTTAGTAACATTTTCTTTGTGTCTTCTTTTGGGTTAACATATAGTTGGGACTTGAATATTGCTGGTGAAAACAAAGGATCACTACATCATATTAGTTAGATAAAATAATAGTACTATGATTTAAAATATTCATATAATATTAAGATTGAAGTGATGAGTCTGAGAATATCTGAGTTGTGAATTACTAATTAATTTTAATATATAGAAAATTAGGTGTGGTTTTGTACTATTCCAAGAAAGTAAAGACAAACTCCAAGAGTTAAAATTACATGTCTGTCGGCTGACATCTTTCTTCTTAAAGTAGGTAGGGTACCTGCCATGCTAACTTCTTTATATTTAATTCTTTTCCACCTTCAATTTATTGTGCATTTAATATTACTACGTACATATCATATTTTATGAAATTAGTGTGTGATGACATTATTAACCCTAAGCAGAAATAGCAATATAATTGATAATACATGCATGAATTATAATCTTTGTACAAGATAGTGTACATAACATATATACATGGTAAAGAAGGCTTTATATCTCATCGATAATCATTATCGTAAAAATAAATTTTAACGATAATATATATACATATTAATAAAAAATGCATTTATCCACGTTAATTGTTATTAGATTTGATGTCGCTGTAAACATTTGAGATATTTACAAAGAGTGTCAATCACAACTAAAAATCATTTTTATGTAGTGTATATATCAATGGTCTTTATACAATTAGGTAATATTTATGATAAATATATACTTTATATGTATGATAATATAATTAGTAATTTAACCATTTTTGCTCTCTTCCGGCAATTTATATATACTTATATTTAAAATCTTTTTTAAGTAGACAAAGGGTGGTTTAGTCAAAGGGGACATTAATTTAAATTAGGTGATATTGATGTGTAACGAAGACATGTGGCCACTGGTCAACTCCCTCAGTACTCAGCATATGATAATGTTGAATTGTTGGTAATAAAATATTACTTTCTCATCAAATTTTGAGATTTAAACGAACAAAAAAAAATTGACATGATTTTTTATATTGTTAAGATACGGTACCTGGACCTAACTCAACCCCAAAAACTAGTTCATGAGGGGAGGTTTAATTTGTCCAAGTTCATATAAGGAGACCAAATTATCATCCCTTTTACCGATGTGGGACTTCTTAACACTCCCCATTACGCCTAGACCTCAACAGGAGCGTGAACACTTCTAAATGGGGGCCTAACATTGGTGAACAACAAATTGTGATGGGCCTGACTTTGATACCATGTTGAGATACGGCACGTGAACCTAACTCAACCCCAAAAACTAACTCATAAGGAGAGGTTTATCCAAGTCTATATAAGGAGACCAAATTCTCATCACTTTACTGATGTGAGACTTCTTAACATATATATCTTTTAATTATATCTTGAATCATCAATTATTATGATTGATAATATTTTTTACATAGTTTTTACTGATAAATATTATTTCACCAACATAGATTGTGGTGCAATAATTAAATTGTTTTACCTTACTTAGAAATCTTGAGTTGGAGCTTTGTGTATGAAGAAAATTTTGTTGAGAGCATTACCCTAAATAAGTTCTATAATGTGCAATTCAAATTTAATTAGTTATTACTCTAATATGAGCACCGAACATCGAGTGGTTCGAATATAATTAGTCAGTACTCTAATACGGATATCGAACATCGCGCGAAAAATCAAATAAATAAATAAATTCTATTTCAAAATAATTCACTATGTTTTAAACTATCTGACTCTCGAAATCTAAACGATTCACATATATTTGTGTATTGTGAAGTGTGTGACCGTCTCGTTTAAATTAAAGCTTAAGTTGTTAGAGAGAGATGAACACTTTTATTAGTTAATTGCATTCTCAACACGCCCTCTCACATGCAGCTAGATCTGTTTTTTTTTTTCATAAATCAAGCACGTGAAAAAAAAAATTGATATAGATATGGATCAAGCACGTGAAAATTCTTTTTGATATGGATGACGGTGAGATTCGATCACAGGACGTCTGTCTGCTCTAATACAATATGGAAATATATCACCGTCTTATCTAAAAACTTGAGTTATTCAAGAAATCACACTTTTATTAGTTAATTGCATTCTCAACACGCCCTCTCACATGCAGCTAGATCTGTTTTTTTTTTTTCATAAATCAAGCACGTGAAAAAAAAAATTGATATAGATATGGATCAAGCACGTGAAAATTCTTTTTGATATGGATGACGGTGAGATTCGATCACAGGACGTCTGTCTGCTCTAATACAATATGGAAATATATCACCGTCTTATCTAAAAACTTGAGTTATTCAAGAAATCACACTTTTATTAGTTAATTCCATCCTCGGTAGTCTTGAGGGATTACTACAAGCATATTGTATGTGTCAAATATTATCTCTTTAACATAAAAAGGGCCAAAGCTAGCTAGGTTCATTAAAGAACCTCACACCAAACCATTCAGCAAAAACATTAAAGAGACCCCTGCAAGCTAGCTACTCATCTTCCTGTTTAGTTGCAATAAATAACAAGTTCAGAAATATATTAAGCATTTATAAGAATTAAAATGGAAGAGAAAAAAGAGAGTAGATCAGCTTATAATGAAATTATCACCAAGAATCCAATGTTTTACTTACAAGAAGGCATTAAAGCTATTCTAAAATGCCTTGGTTTTGAATCTTCAAAACTTGTTCATCAAGCATCATCGTCATCGTCGTCATCATCGTCTTCTTCAAGTATGTCAGATACTAATAAAAAAGAAGAAGAAGAGAGTGAAAAACAAGAACAAGAGTGTGTGTTGTTCCAAGAAGATGGTAATAAGCAAGGTTCAGATTCAACAAATGATAATTACAAGAATGACCCTCCAGTTGAAAATGATGATGAAGATCCACCTCAATCAGAGACGCTTGTAAGTTGATCTACTACTTTTCACCTTTTATTAAATCGGAAACAGTCTTTCTATTTTAAAAAAAGTACGAATAAGACTGGTTACACATCATTCTTTACAAATTACACTAAGCCTATTATTATTGTCATTAATTTACATTAAACTGTTCTCTTTAAATTAATATTTTCATAGAGAAAATTTAAAATATAAAAAACGAAAAAATGATTATTTATTACAAAGAAAACTCAAGAAGATTTGATATCTGCGTAATAAATAATTTTTTAAGGAAAGGGGTTTGATGTATAGTAACTTAATCCACTACATACACTTCTGTATATAATGTTACATTACTGTTAGCTGATGTTTGACCATATCTTATTACGAAATTTGAAAGAAAAAAATTAATTTTTATTTTTAAGGTATAAAATGATTTTTGAAATTGTATTTGGTTATGAATATAAATTAAATATGTTTTTAATTCTTTGTGTGTGATTAGAGCGAAAAAGGTGAAAATACCTTTTTATTATTTTTTAATTTTTGTAAATTCTAAAGTAATTGAGTTTCAAATTTTATGACAACATTCCAAAGTTTAACCTCAAAAAAATGAAAAAATTTCATGACTAAACACCTCCTTTAAAAAATTTTAAAAAAAAGGTCATAATTTTTATTATTAAAAAAAAATTGAAATTCTCTAGACTATGTCGGTTGTTGAATAGTATTTTGATGAAAATAATAGCTGCTTCTCTCTCTCTCTTTGAGTTTCAAGAAATATGTCTTTTTTTACCGAAAAAGAAAATATAAAATATGATAGAATATGCAGTTTCTATATTTATCTTATTCATTTTATTAGAATTATTTCCAATTATGCAGTGTCTATATTTATCTTTTTCATTTTATTAGAATTATTTCCAATTATTAATTATTTATTTTAGCAAAAAAATGAGATATAGCGACATGCAAAACCAAAGTCTTACACATATTTGTTTTTAAAAAAAAATAATGGATCAAAACCCTCCTAATTTTTTTATTTTTTTTTTGTATGTTTCATATTTAAATTATGTCTTATTTATGTGACTTCATAGACTAAAACTTTCAGATCAACCCTTTCAAACTATCACATTTTTATTTGTTTCATATTTAAATCATGTCTTATTTATTTGTTTCATATTTAAATTATGTCTTATTTATTTGTTTCAAACTATCACAGTTTTATTTGTGCCAAGGAGGTGTTAACGCTTAACATTTTGTCATCTACCAAAGTTAGGGTTTTTTAACACTTGTTATACTTCGTTAGGTGATATAGTTCAGAAAGTTGATTCATATGTCTCAATTTATATAATATTATTAGAATTTTGAGAGTCGAATGTATTTAATAATTCATGTTCACATATTAAAGTCATTATGATTTGTTTTATTTTGGTTGTGTACGCAGATATTAGCAACAGAAAGGAGGGGAAGACCACCATCAAGACCTAAAGTTGGCAGTGGACCTCCTCCTCAGAACAATTAAATAATTAGTTGACAATATATCAACACTTAATTTAGTTGAAGGTCATTTTAATCGGTAAATTATTTAGAATTTCGAAAGATAAACTTGTTTATTTCCAAGCCATGGCACTAGATAGACATATATAGTCGTAGTAATCGGCCCAAAATGTCTCTGCTCTTCATATGGTCAATTTTTATATCAAGACTTAGGTCTAGTCGTATTGCTCTTTTATCTTGGTTTGATTTCCGTGTTTAATTCTATTAGGTCCTTTAATTATTTGTTTATATACATATATTGTAAGATATTATAAGGATTTTTCATATTTGCAAGCTAATTATTAGTACATAAAGTTGAGTATTTGTCGAATTTTGATTTCCAATTCTGTATTGATTAAGGGGATGAAATCTTCTTCTACTGCTTACTACTGCTCTTCGAAATTTGATTGAACTCAATAACTTTGTTTCATCATGTTCAAATGATTTTCAATTTGATCGAACTCAATAACTTTCTTTCATCAGGTTCAAATGATTCTCATTTAGGGAACGGTACTATCTTCGATACAAAGTCTCATATGGGACCATCTTGAACTTCTAAACTATAACAATAAATCTGAAGAGGATAAAATATACATAAATCTTACTCTAATTATCTATGAGAAAGTAAAAAAAATAAAAATTGTTAAACTCTCAACCGAATAATATCTACAATAATAAATAATTTGAGATAATTATGTTTATACTGTAATTACCTATGAGAAGGTAAAAAAAATATTTTTTGTTAGGCTCTCAATTGAATAATATCTATAATAATAAATAATTTGAGACAATTATTTTGAGACGAAGGAAATAAAGAATACGAATTATATAGATGAGATTATTATTGAAAAAGCATGAATATTTGGTTCATTAGTCAATCATATGACTAGCAACAATAACTGCAGGGTCTCTTAAAAGATTGAATATCTTCAAAAACATTAATACAATATGGCCCATCCACATTTATTTTGTCAGACATAAAATAGTGGCATTTTTGGTTTATTTGACTCTTCTTTCAGTTGACTGTTGAGTAGTCTATATAATGTACTGAATTTTTTACCAAAATAAGTTATTATTAAAATTAATTTATTAAAATAATACGTTCTTTTAAAATTTTACAAAATTAGTATAAACGTAGTTCACAGTAACGTTTTAGGTTATATTTTATTTTAAAAAATTCAATAACAAAAAGATAAAAATCTGACAGATTAAAACAGACATAAAACGTTATTGTCAGTAACATTTTATAATTCGTTACTCTGAGGCACGTTTTACAGCTAAAACATGACTCACAGTAACGTTTTTCTGGAATGACTGAAAATTAAAAAACAATCTTATACATGCCTCATTCAACTTTATTAAACTTTCCACTATTAAAATGAATATATATATTTTACACATATATATTCACATATATAAATTTCTCTTTTCATACATGGATAATACTTTTGCAAGGAAAATAAGTTGTGAGGAGGCTTTACTACAATATCAATTAATTTCTTTGTCTCTTCTATTATGATGTAGCCATTATATTTTTTTTAATAGTTGGTTTGCTTACTTATTACATCAATTTTAATTCAATAACTTCTTTATTGATAGTCTAATATTTAATAATGATAAGAAACCGATTAGTCTAATATTTGGAAGGGATGTTATCTTAGGCCTGAATTAAGAAGATCTCTCATATATATGATTTATTTACAAATTTTGAAATTGAAATGATACAAGACAAGCTCCAATTTGTGTGAAGTCATCCTCACTTTTTTTTCCCTTTTGTTTAAAAAAAGTATTGTCTATGTGAAAAGAGAAAGAAAAGAGAAAATCATATATATTTTAAATGGAGGTATGTACAAAATATATTTATCCATTTTAATAGTGGAAATTTGAATAATGAATGAGAGATGTACAAGATTGGATTTCAATTTTCACCATTGAGAAACGTTACTGTGAGTCACGTTTTAGCTGTAAAACATGTTTCAGAGTAACGAATTATAAAACGTTACTGACAATAACGTTTTATGTCTGTTTACTCTGTCAGTTTTTAATTTGTCTTTTTGTTATTCATTTTTTTTGAATAAAATATAACCTAAAACGTTACTGTGAACTACGTTTATACTAGTTTTGTAAAAGATTTAAAAAACGTATTATTTTGGTAAATTGATTTTTATAATAGCTTACTTTGGTCAAAAATTCTAATATACCCATTCAGATCATCTGTTGAACACTACAAATGCTTTATTATTCTTCCAAATTTTAGTGTGGAAAATGTAATTTTCTGGTTTTATAATTGAAAAATAGTCATTATCTTGAAGCTTGCAATTTTATGATTGAAATTTCATAAAAGTAATTATTTTTGAAAACATAATTAAAAAGTGGCTAGTAAACACTATATCTATTTACGTAGAACAGTAGAAGTGTTGATTCGGCTAACATTATTATTTTCAATTCAAACTCCTTACAAATGGATAAAAACATGTACAGAGGTCACACTTGCAATTTAAGACCTACAATGATGTTTAACTCTTGAATATGTCAACGCTTCCGATCCTATAGCCTATAGGTGTATAAGGGGGTCATCTGAATCTTCTTTTACAGAAAAATCAAAATGCATACACGAATGTTGAAATTTCCTTTATGTTTTTTTTTTTTTTAACCCTCCTAGGGACTCCCACCCTTTTTTGCTCCCTTGGTGACTCGAACTCGCAATCTTTGGGTTGAAAGTGAGGGGTGCTTGCCATCCGATCAACTCCCCCTCGTCTAAATTTCCTTTATGTCACTAACTCCAATAGTGATTTTTTGTTGGCGTTGGCGTTAAAACTAAGGTTAATAATTGGTTAACATTGTTGTAGCTTTGTTATTGGAAGGTCGAAAAGAATAAATCTCAACTAATTTAAAGATCAAATATGTTAAATAATTTTGCATCAATGAGGAAAATATCTTTTAATTTTTTCCATAGCATTTTCAACAAATAATATTAAGAAAAAAAATATTCAAAACTGTTGAAGATATCCTCAAAGAGCCAGCTTATCTAGTGTGTTTGTATAACGAAAACTTTGTAAAATAGAAGCAATAACAAGAGACTCATCATCATCATTAATATCATCATTCATCTCAATCTTCATGCAATTATTTTCAACCACTTCCAACTCCGGCGTTGACGGTGGTGGCGGTGGTGGTGGCCGAGGTGGTGGTGATGGTGGTGCCGGAGAATTATTATAAGGTGAAGGAAAAGACGAAAAAGGGTAGACAAAATTAGTACGTGCACTTTCGATACCACAAAAAGTAATAGAAGAAATATCATAAGCTAGAGCAGCTTCTTCAGCGGTATCAAATGTGCCAAGCCAATGCCTTTGTTTTGTATTTGGATTTCTAATCTCAGCAGCATATCTACCCCATGGCCTTCTTCTTACACCATGATATTTTGTTGAATGTCTTGAACTTCTTCTAACTAAATTTCTAACATGCAATTTAGGAATATTAGTAATATTTTCCATTTTTTTTCTTTTTAATTAAATAATGAGGGTTGAGTGTGGAAAAAATGAGATAGGATTTATATAGTGATGAAATGAAATAAGTTTAATGTTTGTTTATTGACAAGATAAGACAGCACTGATTAGCACTAAGATAAGTTAATTAGTAAATTAGTGAGTTAAAATGAGTGTTTTTTGTGTCTTATTTGTGGTTTGGTCAAGTGGAGCAAGTGGGAAGCATTCCCCATATGTTATATATTTTAAAAGGTGTTTAAGTACAAGTTGTGTTTTGTTTGTGTTAACTTTATCCCTTTTTTTCTCAATTTTGACATGATTAGAGCAAGCATAATGCGGAATTTCTGGACTTTCATATTATTTATATGTTAATTCTTTTGATTGAATTTGGTCTCTGTCTCTACATACTCTTATCACTTGTTTTCCTAAATCACATGTTCATTGGCTAGAGCTTTATTTGTTTAAAACAACAATGATTACACGTTGAATCTAAATTAGTTGAGATCGACTATATTCATAATTCGTTAAAACTACATTTGAACAATTTTCATTTTCTAATACAAGCCAAAAGCATCTAAAATCAAGTAATTTAATACTAACGTACGACCGTCTATCACCTAGAGAACTAGTAATGTAAGCTCAAATAAAGTGGTAAAGCTAAATTAGACGTTAAGTAATCAATTGTACATTTCTCAAAGTTAGAAAGAGTGAAGAATCATCCCATACACGATTTGAGTTTCTAAAAAATATATAAAGTTTTTGTGTTACCACATTTGTATTTGAGTTTCTGACTGAATCCCTTTGAACACATAAAGTAACAAATTTACGAGTCTTTATGCTACAACAAAAGGGATCGATCTGTTCATTGTTGAAACATTTCAAGAATCAACACACAGAAAGAGAGAATGAACTCAGCTGACCTATTATTTAACAATCATTACAAGTAGAACCCGAGCGAGTACGCTGAAACCCTAACGGTTGCAAAATTGGTAGTAGCTAAAATGGTAAAAGGAATGAATACATATTTGGCAAAGGCAACTACAATCCGAACAAATGAGCTAAATAAATCAAATCATATGAAGACAGAAAATATAGTCCCAATCTGTACATTTATGACGGAAGGCATGTACAGGAAATACTCAGCGACTGAAACAAACGATTTGTTGCAGCAGCTGTCTAGGTGAGCTTTCGCCATATTGAATGTTTTGCCGCTGATAAGGACTTCACCCTGGGGAAAACAAAACCTGTTTTTGGAGGATTTCCATCTACCAGAGAATTTTCATAGATTTCTTTGCATTCTTGAACAACCTATATCATAAAGAAATCCCCATCAAGAAAGCAATAAAGAGAAACCAAGTTATCTTCTCAAAGGCGATGAACATGGGGACGCTGTAAATGCATGAGATTCAAGAGCAATATCACTGTTCTTGCAATAAATGTCGACAAGGAATAGACAAATATTTTGGAGAAATCTGCAAACATGGGTTTTGGGCATAAAGAACACCCACAACTGACAAGTTTCTGCTTTATACATAATGAATATATTTATAGCTAAGAATGGATATTTATCAGAAGTATGGTGAAACAAGAAAAAATAAATGATGCATCCCCAAAGCAATGATACATAATCACAACTTACTAAAATAACATGATAACTTCATTTAATGCATTGCAGGGATTTAGGGCCCGTTTGGATTGGCTTAAAAAAA